GAAAATTACAAAAATCTTTGGGTTTCAAGGTAGTTGTTGTTCTGTTAAACTGTAATAGAAGCTAAGAATTCAGTTAATTATCTGTGCGTTGGATAGTTGCATGTCAGGAGAGGGACAGATGAACCGTGGTTACCTTGGCGAGAGTTTCGGTTCAGCCTTATTTTGATTATGCTTGTGGTTCGCGGTGTGACGGTATAACACTTTAGTGCACTAAAAATAGGCTTCAGACTTCTCAGAACTAGTTCCACATATGTAGCAGCAGCTTTGTGGAACCGGTTACCAGGAAGTTTTAAAGTGGTTGACAGCTTTTAGGGTTTGGACATGCTGTTAGGAAATGGTTAGGTGAAGGAAGAAAATAGGTGTTTAATAGTTAGTTTTAAAATGATTATGGAATACTTTCAGTGTTAATTTTAAATGATTGCATTGATATGGATATTGATATGATATGGGGATTTGTATTATAGTGCTATGTTTGTCATGTTACAGTAGTCGCCCACTGTTGGATCAGTTTAGATTAGGGACCACAATGGAAATAAGTCTTCAGACTCTAATAAACAGTCAAGCAGTCAGTCAATCGATCAATTGGCCAATCAATCAACCAGTCAATCAGTCAGTCAGTTAGTCAACCAGTCAATCAATCAATCAGTCAGTCAGTCAGTCCGTCAATCAATCAATCAGTCAGTCAGTCAGTCAATCAGTCAATCAACCAGTCAGTCAGTCAATCAGTCAACCAATCAGTCAGTCAGTCAACCAATCAGTCAGTCAGTCAACCAATCAGTCAGTCAGTCAACCAGTCAGTCAGTCAACCAGTCAGTCAACCAGTCAGTCAACCAGTCAGTCAACCAGTCAGTCAACCAGTCAGTCAGTCAGTCAATCGATCAGTCAGTCGGTCGGTCGGACGGTCCGGTAGAATAATCCATAAATGGACAGGGTGGAGTGTAAATGGTCTGTTTTGAAACCGTAACACTCCACACCAAATTCTATCATTGTAGTAGGAAAATTCAGTTTTCTGTGATGTGGCCCTTTAAGCTGCAGGCCTAGTTTCCTGAATTTACTACTATTAGACAGACCAGCGTCGTCACAAGTTCACTTCCTGTCTGCACTGTGTTTATTCATTCATTCCCGTTTTGAAGGCCTCAGTGGAGGGAAAGGGGGACGACTGGACTCTCTGCATCTGCAGCACTAATATGAGTCATATGATGATGTAAAGGGCCTCTCTGAGATTAGATTAGGCTGAACGCTGTGGGGGGGTTAAGTCTGGCTCCCAGCTGTAGGGGCTACTCTTCAGCGTAATTAGCTTTTAACTTTTTGGACAGGCTGAACTTCAGTGACCTCTCTGCGTCCCGGGTGACCAAAGCATCCCCAAAGCAGCTCTGGCTGAGGTTTTAGCTTAATCTAAGAACAGAGAGAACACAGAGTAGCTCTGTCGAAAAACGAGGAGCATCTCGTGCTTAAAGGGGAATTCCACCATTATTATTTTTTATTAGAATTTCTTCATAATTAAGTGTTAAAGATGTCAAGAAAGTCGTTCAGAGTGGTTTGGTGTGAAACGCTCTGTTCTAGAGAAACTTACTGAGTCTGAATTGTTCACAGTGGTGGTGATAGAAACCAGACGTCCACCTCTAAAAGCTCCCTCACAGAAAGTTCCTACATGAAATGGTTATGAATTCACTGCCTGATGACTGAGACACTGTTTTATGATAGTTTTGAGAAGATTTTGAGCTCCATTCATGGTGGAGGGATACATGCAGGGTGTTGTGAGACAAAATAGTCCCCAAAGAAAACTTATTATTTCAGATTTTCCACTATTTTCCATCGTCAACATTCCATATAAACTCAGAAGACTCGTGTAGGTTCACTGGTGGTTCTGGATAGTAAATAAAATGTCTATATTTGTGTTGTAGTCATGGCGACCCCTGGTTCCTATCACCACCACTGTAAAGACATCTGAACCATTTCACACCAAACTTAATCGTATAAATAGTGTGCAAACATGTCGTGGGTGACTGGCTGCATTTGAAGTGAGGGGATAGGTGTGTAAATTAAAGTTTCCAGCAAGCTGTCACTTCAGCAGAGCTCGTTTCGTGATGGGAAGATGCATCATAAAGTGTTTCCTCTGGTTCTGTTTTGCTGCAGAGGTCGTCGGATGGCTCTCTGGGTCCGGAGGAGGAAGGAGGGAAGGTGACGGAGCTTCAGGAGGCGATGGACCGGCAGAGTAAAGAGCTCCTGCAGATGAAGGAGCGCGTGGTCTCCCTTAGCAACAGAGTCAGCGAGCTGGAGGAGGACCTGGACACCGCCCGCAAAGACCTCATCAAATCGGAGGACATGAACACGCGCCTGCAGAGGGACCTGAGAGAGGTAAGCGCTGAGGAATTCCTCCACGGTGGTGCAGTTAGCAGTCACTGGCTGTGTTTACATGCAAAGATTTTTACCAATCTGATTAAATTAATTCCGATTATAGATTAAGACTGAGGTGTTTATTCTCACTCTACTCAACAATCTGATGGAAAACTCTGTTTACATGCTCACTACAAGTAATCAGATCCAAAATTGCGCACGTACAGAGAACCGCTTAGTATAGATGTTACCATGACAACCAGCATCACGTGAGTCCAGTCAGAGTGAGATGAGCAGCAGTGACCAGTGCTTGTGTTTTTAACTGCTTTAAAATGATGTCAGACTCAGGAAAACGTCCTTCACATGTCCTTATTAAAGAAGGCCGAGAGGAAGACGTCGTGTTCTGAGACACATAAGCTGGACGTCCGTCCCACCGCCGTCTTTTAAAGATCAGAGCATAAACTTCGTCTCCTCTGCAGACCAGTTTCTGCTCCGCCATGTTGAACGATATAAACTCTCACTATGACGTGACGAACATGATCAGAACGGACTTAAACTTTCCGATAGGGAATGTAATCAGATACAGGCGTTTACACGGATATTATTCTTCTATTTAATGGATTATTTACAGGATTACCCACCTCGATCAGTCAGATAGAAACTGTATTCCAAATGGCCTCAATCAGACCAGACTATTCCGATTGAGGTGTTTACATGGACGTATTCTATTCCGATTGAGTTGTTAGTCGGATTATTAACGGGATTATCAGGCTGCATGTAAACGTGGTTAGTGTTGAGTAGATTGTTTAAGAAGTGATGGTTGACAAAGCCAGTTAATAATGCAGCTGTAAACAGCTCTTGATTGCTTTTAATAACTTAATTTTCTTTATATAGTCATTCCAAGTAGTTGCTGTGATGTTGCCATGACCTTCCTATGGTATTCCAGCTTGTTGTTAGGGCACTGCTAATCAAGATATTATAACTCTATATAACCTCTTATATTATAACTATAAAAAGTACATGTGCAAGCAAGTACTTTTATACTGTGACTAAAATAGAAACACAGATATAATATTCGTATTTTACTCAAAAATAAGGATATTTACAGACGTATGCAAAAGTTTGTGCGCCCTGGTCAAATTCCAAGTTAATACATCCTCTATAAAGACACACTTCTGCACATTTTAATGCACTTAAGTCACTGTTCATGTACTCAATTTAACACACTGGAAAAATATATGTTAAAGAAAGTGGCGTGTGCAGAAGTTATAGCGCATTTATATTTGGGGTTCATTTTTTTCAATTTGTAAAACTCGGAATGCATAGAAATTGTGCACTTAAATATGCAGAAATGCTTTATTTAAGTGTTCTCTGTGAAGTATGTTAACTTTTGTTTATTTTTTCTAATTTTAAATGTCATTTGACCGCAATGTTCAACTTTTTGATTGTAATGAGATTGTTTTGTCACATCTCCCAGCTCAACAGTGTCTCTTTTGTTTGCATTTTACCTGTAAGACAGGCTAAAACTCTAAAGACTGATTAATTTTGCAAAGCCCTAAATCAGTTTTTCTCAGTGATTGTGAACATTATGTGTACACATATTTTATTATTTAACAGACACTCTAGTGTGAGCTGCTGTGAGTTGAGTTTTACATCAAATGTCCTCATATGCTGATGTGTTGCAGTCCATCGCTCAGAAGGAGGATATGGAGGAGAGGATCACTACGCTAGAGAAACGCTACCTGGCCGCTCAGAGAGAGGCCACGTCTGTTCACGACCTCAACGACAAACTGGAGAACGAACTCGCCAACAAGGATTCGCTCTTCCGCCAGGTCAGAACCGCCTCAGTGTGCTCTTCAGTGCTTTCTGTGAACCAGCAACAGAGATTAGGCGATGATGTTTATAGCTCTGTTTTTATTAAATACAGTTTCATTTCAGCATGATGTAAAAATAGAAATTCCTTTAGGTCATGTTTTTATTCTGAAAAGCAGTACAATCCCCGCCGCTCTTACCCCAAAATGCTCTATTTGAGAGCAACTCAGAAACTCGTTGCTGCGTTTGTTCGGCAGAGTTGATCACTGTAATGATCTTCTTACTGGAGAAAACAGTCCGTCCTCTAGAACCCGTACAGAACGCAGCAGCACGGATCCTCACAGCACCAACACAGAGAGCTCATATCCCCCCGTTACACACTGCACTGACCGCCTGGATCTGTTAGAGAGAGTTTAAAGCTCTGCTGCTGGTTTTTTAAAGCTCTAAATGACCTTAAAGCTCCTGACCGTCTGTTTATGATCTCAGATCTGCAGATTCTGACCTTCTGACCTCCTTCAGTAAAACACAGAAAACAGTGGAGAGACTCTTTCAGTTTTCTGCTTCAAACTGTGGAGCTCAGTTCAGCTTTTATTAGACAGTCGAGCTCAGAGCTCACTTTTAATAAACATCTGAAAACACAGCTCTTTAACTCAGAGCTTCAGTAAATCTCTACGGCTCTTTGGTGTTTATCTGTTTAATCTGATCTGTTATTGTTGACATTTTAAATTGATAGTTTCTTCTATTTATGTTAAGCTTTGTCTCCTGTCTATAAAGCACTTTCAAGCTGCCACTGGCATGAAAAGTGCTCTATAAATAAAGTTGTTATTATTATTATTATTATTATTATTAATCTCTATCTGCTGTATGAGACTCTGTTACACTCAGCAAACCAGGGCTGAACCAAATGAGGTTTAACCCCTAAATTACTACAGATTTACACTTGGATGTAACATTTTATAGTTTGTCTGAGTGACCGTGTGCTCAAAACACTACTGACCCACTGGGAATTCTCCCGGTCAACCACTCCAGCATTGATCCAGTGACATTCAGAGGACAGAATTAGTCTACTTTTGAAAATTTAGTTTACTTGACCCAGACCCAGAGTTCATGACCTGCTCATAACGCTGACGACAGAATGACAGCAGGACTGTCCGAATGTCGGTGGATGAAGTGAGATTGACGCTGTACATGTAATAACGCTGCTTTGGTGTTTGATTGACAGACGGAGGATAAGAACAGGCAGCTGCAGGAGAGGCTGGAGCTGGCCGAGCAGAAACTCCAGCAGACCATCCGCAAAGCCGAGACGCTCCCGGAGGTGGAGGCGGAGCTTGCTCAGAGAGTCGCCGCCCTCACCAAGGTCAGTGCTGCCTGCAGAGCGTTCATTTCAGGGTGGTCCTCAGCACGCCTGCGTGAACTGTCCTACACAATAACCTCGGCCTTCCTCTCTGCGTGTGTGTGTGTGTGTGTGTCTGTGTGTGTGTGTGTGTGTGTGTGTGTGTGCGCGAGAGAATAAGTGGGCGATACAGGAACTACTAAGAAAAGACACTCAGTGACTCATTGTCCTATTTTTTGGATCGACTTCTTGGCTTAGCGGCTTTTATTTAACAGCAGAAATCAGGAGCCAAATTTATGTGCCTGTATTTTGCTGCAGTTGTGATGTTTTAGGCATCAATTTATTTATTAATTTACTTATTTTTATTTTAGTCACTTACATCTCAATGATTAGATATTGGGCAGATATTGGTGGTGTCTCAATTCAGTAGATTTTAGCTATAGCAGTAAATTAAAATAAACTGCACTGAAATTGGCTGATCACTGCTGTCGGATCAAAACCTTGTATCTCAGTTTTTGTTGTTTTTCTACTTAATTTTTTACTTTTGTTTTGTGCAAATTCACATTCATATCCATAAAAAAAAAACAAAAGAGGTGGCAGGAAATCAAAGGTACATGAGATCTTATTTAAAGTCGGAGGTTTACAGGTACAACATTTCAAACATAAAACTCAACAACAATCTCTGTTTACATACAAAAGGCAGAATGATCAGAGTCAAAGGTCTCAGTTCACCACGCTTTCTCGGGTATAGCAATCCCATTTCATCCAGTTTTTTTTCCCTCTCTCCTTTTGAAGACGTACGGAGTAAGTCAACATTTCCATGGAGCGAATATAAGTAACAATTTCAACAAAAAGGTCCACAGTTGGGGGGTTTCTTCTGAGCCAGCACTTAGTAATAGCTTTCTTACAAGCGACCAGAAATATATTCAATAGGTAGCAATCACTCTTACTTAACCCTTCAGGGGTTACACCAAGATACATAGAGTTAAATGAGACCTCCACATTAAAACCCAAGATGTCGGAAATAATTCTCCCCATATTAATCCAAAAGGATTGCATTTTTGGGCAACACCATACTACATGCGCATGGCCTACGTCCATTGCCCCACACTCCCTCCAGCAGGGGAAGTGGGCCCCAGTTAACCTTAACTTGAGTTTGGGCGTTATAAAAAATCTGATCAGACTCTTCCAGCAAAAATCCCTCCAAATCAATGAATTAGTGGAAGTACAATGGTTTTCCCATACTCGTGACCATACTTCCTCTGTTATCTTTTCCTGTATATCTTGTTCCCATCGAAGTCTCACATAATTAGTTGAATTTTTATTCATTAAACAAATGATTTTGTAGAGTTTGCCAATAACCCCTTTATTTCCTTCACCCCTATATGCCTCCATAAAAAACTGAGTCAGTCCTGAGAAAGGACCCGGGTTGGGGCCTTTAACCTCTTTCATATAGAAGTGACGGATCTGTAAATATCTAAAAAAAATCCTGTTTTCCAAGGTCAAATGAGTCGCATAATTTCTGGAAACTGTCAAATTCCCCATTTGACAGCATTCTACAGAGGGCAGTAATACCACCTATAGACCACTGTCTGTACCTATGATCATACAATGCTGGAGTAAAATGTGGGTTATAAGCTGGCCAACTCAGTACTTTAATTTCTCTATGAAGCTGGAATCTTTTAATCACCTCAAGCCAGATTTTAAAGGAAAAACCAACCCATTGATTCTTTATTTGCAATAGTTCCTTAGTCCTATCAAGACATCCTAAAACTGACTGTATTGGAATATCCATTAGTGAAAATTCTATATCCTTCCATTTCGCTTCATAGGTTGGATTGCACCAAAGTACAAGTGGTCTTAGTTGAGCAGCAACATAATAATCCTTTAAGCATGGAAGCGCCATGCCTCCCTTCTCTCTCGGCAGCAACAAAGTAGAATATTTTACTCGAGGCCTCTTTTGTTGTTTTTCATTTTTGACATGATTTGAAAATGCCTGTTGAACTTTACATTGTTGGTAAGTTCCATGATGAATGGACCAAAAGAAACATCTGGATCCATTGACTTACGTTAAAAATAAAGGTTTATTCCTTCTCCTGTAAAGAGGTTTTGTTCCGACAGCAGCGATTATAAAGTCAACAGTACATGTAATTTAGACTTTTACATATGACAATACATTGTTTCACACTCATTTTCACTCATTTTTGCATACTGTAGTGAAATTGGTGCACCATTAATGTTTAGCCGACACTGCCTTTAAATCATAAAGGTAATTTTGGTTGAACACTCTGTAATTACCCGACTTACAGGCTGATGTACAGGGTGTTAGTCTTTCGCTCATTACATGCCTGGACAACGATACTGACTTCTCATTAAACAGGAATTTCAGGAATTGCATTAGAAACAAGCTCAGTTGGCTAATATACACAGCAGTAACCTGGAAACACACTGTTGAAGGAATAGTCCAACACTGCTTACAGTGGTGGTGATAGGAACCAGACGTCCACCTCTAAAAACACTCCAAAATAACTTTACAGATGGGGAAGAACATTCTTAAAGGGGCTTCCACCAGTTTTTCAACATTTCAGCATGATTCAGAGTGGTTTGGTGTGAAATGGGTCAGGTGTCTTTATAGTGGTGGTGATAGGAACCAGGGGTCGCCATGACTACAACACAAATATAGACATTTTATTTACTATCCAGAACCACCAGTGAACCTACACGAGTCTTCTGAGTCTATATGGAATGTTGATGGTGAAATGGGGACTATTGTGGACTATTTTGCCTCACAGCGCCCTGCATATTAGGTATCCCTCCACCATGAATGGATTTTGAGGTTAAAGTCTGCTCAAAACTATCATAAAACAGTGTCTCAGTCATCAGGCAGTGAATTCATAACCATCTATGTAGGAACTTTCTGTGAGGGAGCTTTTAGAGGTGGACGTCTGGTTCCTATCACCACCACTCTGAATGCCTCTGTTTACATCTTAACGATTTAATTATGTAGAATTTTTTAAAAAGTGTTGGTGTTCCCTTTTAATTCAGTTGAGTTAATGTAAATTAACTTTTATTCCATGTGATTTTTGGAGCATTTCTATTGATCCAATTATCATAAAATTGTCACACAATATAAATGGCAGCCGCTCCAGTGAAATGTAGAAAAATAAAAATCGACCAAAGTAGAGATACAGTTTTTCTGTTTCCGACAGCAGTGCACCATTTCACATCACACCACTCTGAAAGACTTTGTTTACATCTCAAACATTCAGTTACGCAAGAGTTTGAAAAAATTGATGGAAAGAATCACTGAAAAATGAGAAAAATGTGTTGTTTGAGGAAAAATGCTGGACTATTCCTTTAACTGTGTCCATATAAAGTAGATAACTGGGGTAAAGAACCTTTTGACCCTAGAGGTGCTGAGATGGGCCGAGGCCCTGCTCTGCCCACTGTGTCCGAGACTGCTAGTTCAGCCTTTGGCGAGGATGACTTCACTCTAATTACAGCCACTGTGCGCTGGACAGACCTCTTACAGCGTCGGCCTGCTTACTCTGCTGCCTCTTTTCTTCTGGAGCTTCGTTTATTCCCAGCCTCAGCCTCAGCCTCGTTCTCCCACACTGTCTCCTGATACTTCGTGAATTGTCCATTTGTGGCTACAGTTACAGCTAATTCTGTCGCTGTTATTGCACAAGCCAGAGTTGCTCAGGCCTGTTTGTGTAATGAGGAGTCATTTCCCACTCAGCCTGTAGTCAGCGCTTCTCTGCTCGTAAAGATTGAGCAATAGGCAGGTTTAGGAGGCCCTGCTGGTCGTCCAGCCTTGTGGACCACTCGTCCAAACGAAACCCAAACGCTGTAGGTTTGAAGATCAACCTTAAGCCCGGAGTGCAGACCCAGCATTCCCCAACAAACAGCCACAAATGCCAACGTTCTCCAGGTACCAGCATTCCTGAACAGACACCAGCATCGTCTGGTATTTTCCAACATTCTCTGACAAACACCAGTAAGTCCAAACACTGAGTGGCTGTGCCAAGCTTGTGTTTGGTTGGTAGAAGATTGTAAGATGTTCTTCCTTCTTTCACTTTGGTTTGTTTGGCTTCAGTTCTTTACTGCATTTTCTGAGGACAAACTGCCAGTGATTGTTGGAGAATTCTGATGTTTGATGAAGAATGGTGTTGGGAAAAGAATGATGGTGCTGGAGATTGGTGGTGTTTGTAGAGAAATGGTGGTGTCTGGAGAAGCGTGGTAGTGTTGGAGAATGGTGGTGTTTGAAGGAGAATGGTGGTGTTGGAGATGGGTGGTGTTTGAAGGAGTGATGGTGTTTGAAGGAGAGTGATGGTGTTTGGAAGGAGAATGATGGTGTTTGAAGGAGAATGGTGGTGAGTTGATGTCAGGTGAAGAATGTTGGTGTTATTTGGTGTTATAGAATGTTGATTTGATCTGTGAATAATAATTATTCCAGAATGTTGGTGTTCGGTGGCGAATGTTGGTGTTTGATGGTGAGTGTTTGAGAATGTTGGTGTTTAGTGGTGAATGTTGGTGTTTGGTGGTGAATGTTGGTGTTTGGTGGGAAACGTTGGAGAATGTTGGTGTTTGATGGTGAGTGTTTGAGAATGTTGGTGTTTAGTGGTGAATGTTGGTGTTTGGTGGGAAACGTTGGAGAATGTTGGTGTTTGATGGTGAGTGAGAATGTTGGTGTTTGGTGGAGAATGTTGGTGTTTGATGATGAATGTTGGTGTTTGATGGCGAATGTTGGTGTTTGATGGCGAATGTTGGTGTTTGATGGCGAATGTTGGTGTTTGGTGGAGTGTTGGTGTTTGGTGGTGAATGTTGGAGTTTGATGGTGAATGTTGGTGTTCGATGGAGAATGTTGGAGGATGTTGGTGTTTGATGGCGAATGTTGGAGGATGTTGGAGTTTGATGGCGAATGTTGGAGTTTGATGGCGAATGTTGGAGTTTGATGGCGAATGTTGGAGGTTGATGGCGAATGTTGGAGTTTGATGGCGAATGTTGGAGTTTGATGGCGAATG